GAGAAAAAAAAAAAAAAAAAAAAAAAAACAAACACATCTTAGTAAAACCAATACCTTCTCAGCTTCGCATCGAAGCTAAAAGAAGCGAACCAAATAATTTGAAAAATTTCCATTTAGAAACGGAGCTAATTATGAAGAACAAAAAGAATCATTTGAAGCCTATTGGAGGCAAACAATTTATTTCTCAATTATTGATACTATTATTAAAAATTTAGAGTTCAGGTTTTCAAATGAAACTCTTAAGATGGCTAAAGCCATTGATAATTTTATAAATATTGATTATGAAATTAGTCAACATTTTATTCTACATTATAAGATGCATATTAAATAAGTTATAAAGTACCAAATGTAATAAAATCATTACATTTTAGAAAGTTAAAAAATATTCTATGATTTTAAAATATAATAAATTCAAACACCGAATGCTTAAAATCAGAAATGCTGGTAGCAAAGAAACAGTAAAGATGAAATAAAAGAAATTCTAGATACAGAAAAATTTCCGATTGTATACAAGTTAATGTAGGTTGCTTTAACTATACCGTTTAGTTCTGCGACATGTGAACAAAGTTTTTCCTTTATAAGGAGGTTGAAAAACTGGTTATGAAGCACCTTGTTGAAGGAACGTTTTTCAAATTTAAGTATTTTGAATATTGAAAGGGATCTTGCTAATTGCATTGCTTCCGAAGAAATTTCAACCACATTTGCAAATGTTGACCGAAAATTACTTTTAACATTTTAAAATTACTCTATTGATATAAAATAAATAAAAATGTAATATAATCAAATTCTATGGTAAATAAATTTAACGTGTTATATTAGTTTTTCCCAAAATGATATTGCGAAAATAATAATAGTACGTTATAATTTAAATATTGAGATTATGTAAAGTTGAATGTATGAGGGTGGAGCCCCCACGATTTTGTAAGCGATTCATAATTATAGTACCTCCAAGATTTGAACTCTAGTTGTGCCACTGTACCAGAGCCTGTTTTATATTCATCAATGCAATTAAAAAGTGGGACCCATTAAAAATTTATGTTAGTTATATTATATTATTTTCGATTGGTTATTTTACTAGGGCATTTAAATTGTGTTGTCTGTAGTTAATCGTATACTATTTATTTAAATTTATACTTTGAAAATATTAGAGCTAATCATTATTTTATTTTTTTAACAATATTAGTTCTTTTAGAGTTGTTTTACAGAATAAATTAATTTTCTGTTAGCATTTATTTTACGCTACATTTGTATCAACTTTCGATTTCGAGATGGTGTAACCACAATTATTTTTGATATAATCAGATTTATTAAATTAAAAAAAAATATTATTGTATACAATTTATTCATTTTATTTTTCGATTTTTGACGAGTTACAACTGTTTAAAGTTTAAGAACGATAACGTATTAGTATTGATTTATCATGTATTGGGAATTTGTAAAAATCTTTTGAAAAGTATACATGAGATAAAATAAATAGATTTAATCACCTTTTAGCTGTAACAAAGCAAATAAGTAGACATGAAATATTTTTTCATGAAGGAAAAATAAATAAGTAACAAATATTTTTTACTGATATCTCCAATGTTCAAAAAACAAATTTTAGCAAACACAAGAAATTAAAAAATAACACATATCCACCAATTTTCAAAACAATTATTGTATGTGCTGAAAAAAAATGTCATATATTGAAATAAATGTGATGTTTTTTTTTGAATATAAAAATAATAAAACTTAAAGTGAAAATCAACACAATTAGTAATTATTCATAGTAACGATTTAAAATGAGATTATCAATTTAAAACAATAATAAAATATTTTTTCAGAAGAAGAAAAATTATTCATGTATAGTTAGCTTGAAGTAATCAAAAATTTAAAATTAAACTAGTCATTTTTTAGTGTTGAATTAGTTTTCAAACTTTGTAATTCAACGCTACCAGGATAGATCATTTTCGGTCTTAAATAAAGTATAGAAGTAACGTTTAAAAATCTGCCCCCAAGTGTAATATTTGTTAACCCGTCATTGTACAAATTAAATATAATTTAAGTATAATTACAACTGAAAGGATTAATGAATTTCTAGTGTTTATATAAAGAAACAATCAAATAAAATGATTTATATATATAATAAGAACTATTTTAAGGCATTGTAAAAAATGATTATCATATATTTAAAAAAAAATTACTAACTATTTTTCGATTATTAAGATTCCTACGGGGAATAATACTGTAAAATACTCTGTAATTTTTTGAAGTCGACGTTTTTAAATAAGTTTTTAACTTAAATCAAACAAGC